GCACACGGCCACCGTCAACCGCAAGTCGCTGCTGCTCCGCGTCGGGTCGGGCTGGATGAAGCGCTTCTCGTCGCGCTTGGAGGAGGCCGCGCAGGAGAACGCCGGGCGCGACTCCATGGATGACAGGTCCGGGTCCGGCCTGTTTAGGGCCAGGGATCGCGGCGGCTTGTTTCCGTCCGCATCGGACCCTAACGTGGGCGCCGCCGCCAGGGACGCGGATAAAGAAAACTCGCTGAAGCGGATGCACCTGGGGCTGGGGGTGACGCCAGACCGGGGGAGCTCGCGGCGCAAGCCGTTGAGAGGGTCGAGCCGCAACGCGGCGGTGAAGGTGAGCGTGAGCCGGCCGACGAAGGTGGACGAGCCCAAGGACGTGGACGAGGTGAACCGACAGGCGGAGAACTGGCGGCAGATGGCGCGGCACCTGCAGGAGGACTTGTGCGACCCGGTGGGGGCGCGCGAGCTGTTCACAAGAGCGATCGACCACCGCGAGAAACACGGGCTGTGGTGCACCAGTCACAACGCGCAGGTGCACGTGGACCTCGCGCGGAATATGAGCAAGGCCAATCATATGAAGGATTCCGAATTCCACCTCCGCATCGCCCTCAGGATTTACAACAACATCGAGGCCGGGCATGAGCATATTGCCGACTTGTTGCTGTACGTTGGGGTTGTTGTGGATAGGCAAAGAAGGCGCGCCGAGGCTGAGGAGCTGTACCGCAAGGCGCTCGGGATTTATAAGCAGCATCGCGTGGGCGAGAATAATGTGGACATTGCCGTGAAGAATTTGAGCCTGAACTTGCGCAAGCAAAACAGGGAGGGCGAGATTGACGGCGTGAGAAGAGAGTTTCTGGGGATCAAGGGCTCCAGCGTGATTGTATGACAGGACGGAAACGGGAGGGGAGCGCGGTTGCTGTTTTTTTTTGCCGGCAGCGATGCGCCCGTGGAATGACATGACAAGTGAGAGAGAGAGAGAGAGAATAATAATAATCGGACATGCGGTCATCAAGTGTAGCTAGCAAGCGCAGCACAGCACATTTAGCAAGCAAGGTTTGCAAGCATAGAGAAAGGATAGGAATATGATTGACTGGTAGTCTATGTATTAGCTAGGTAACTCACAAATGGACAGGCGGTTGCGTCTAGAACAAGGAGAAAGGCAAGTGCGTACGGGAAGGAGGGGCCGATAAATATTCAACTGACGATGCCACGAGCAAGGGGCGCAGCGGCACTGTACCCACGTATGCGTAGGGCACACGGCGAGGGAGACGGAGCGAGAGACGCAGAGCGAGAGACGCGGAGAGAGAGAAAGAGGATATAAAAGGAATGAAAAGTAAAGCAAGAGCAGCCTTTTACAACTACGCGAGCGCGTGCGACCGGACAGCCCCTCAGCCTCGCAGATGCGCCAGCCTCGCGACAGAACACACAAACGCGAGTCCGGGACGACGCTCCCGCTGGCGAGGTACGGCCGCGAGGCGCGGAGCTTTGACCGCGGGACGGGGGTGCGCAAGGCGGAGGGGGTGCGTGCGCGCCTGGCGGGCCGTGTGCGGTGATCATTGCTTGGTCTTCTGCTTGGCTTCGTACTCCTTGTAGTAGTCGTCGACGGCGGCCTTATAGGACAGGTGCCACGAGCGCCACGCGGCGCCGGCCTGTAGTGACGGTGGTCGGGGTGGGGGGGAGAGGGTGGGGGCGGTTAGTCGGTGCGGTGGCGGTGTGGGCGCGCTGGGGGCGAGAGGAACGCGGCAGGACATACCGCAAGGCCCAGGGCCAAGCCCATCGCGATCTCCGTGGAGGCGCTCACTTTCTTGGCGGCGTGACGCACGACACCGGACATGGTGGATGTGGTG